ACACACACACACACACACACACACACACACACACACATATATATATATATATATATATATATATATATATATATATATACAATTACCGGGGGTGTTGAAACAAAATGTCTATTTTTGTAGTGATTTTATAACATGTTTATGTTATCATTTTTTTTTAAATAGATAATTATACATACATATATATATATATATATATATATATATATATATATATATATACATATATTGATTTAAAAATATGTTTTTTGCTACAGTTCTAACCATGTTTCAAAATGGAAGCTAAATGTTCTAATTTAATTTTGTCATTAAATTAAAGACATTAGTTCCATTTTATCCTCAAGCGAATTTTGGAGTAACTTTTTGCTTGAGGATGAAATGGAACTAATGTCTTTAATTTAATTACAAAATTAAATTCGGGGGATTTAGCTTCTATTTTTGAAACGTGGTTAGAACTGTGTAGCGAAAAAAAACATATTTTAAATCAGTTAATTTATAATATTAATGCTTTGTAAATTTACATTGAGCACTATTTTGTAAAAATAAAATATCTATAAGAGCACCGGATTATATATCTTACTGTTCTTTTCTTTTTATTCATATATATATATATATATATATATATATATATATATATATATATATATATATATATATATATATATATATATATAGGTAGATTATAATTATTATATATATATATATATCCATATATATATATATATATATATAGGTATTTATATGAATATATATATATAGTATACACACACACACACACACACACACACACATATATATATATATATATATATATATATATATATATATATATAGACAGAGAGAGTCATCCATATAGTAATACACAGACGGACTGTTTCGCTGTATCACAGCTCCTCATTGTGTGGCTAGGCGTTCGATTGCTTCAAGTCGGGATCGAAACCAGACATCCGTCAGACATCTTACCTATAAACCATCGTCGCACGGCAGGGAAGGAAAGGAATTTTAACGTTTTTCTGAATACAAAATACGCCAGCAGTTTGTAGAACACAATTCAATTTTACTTGACGAGTAATGCTTAATAGCAGTAATAGCAATCAATCAATCAATCAATATATATATATATATATATATGTCTTTGTGTGTATGTGTGTGTTCTTTTTGAAGCGGAATCACCCCAAGCAAGGCAATAATGCCACTAAGACGCAAGGGGTTACAGGTTGTAAAAGAATAAGCATCGGAAACATTAATTATGAACAGGAAGAGAAAAGTGCAATCAATTGAACAGTAGATAGCCATTGACATTGCATTAATTTTTGCAGATTAAATTTTACTGGAAAGCAAGGGACCGGAAGAGATTTCCACAAGCGAGAAGTGTGAGAAAAAAAACTGTTAGCGTAGAACTTATGGCTACATCTTGACATAATCAGATCTTCACGCCAGTATTTATATGAAAAAAAAAAACACGATAACTCAATGCGATGCACACACACACACACACACACACACACACACACACACACACACACACATATATATATATATATATATATATATATATATATATATATATATATATATATATACAATTACAACACACACAAACAAAATGTCTATTTTGTAGTGATTTTATAACATGTTTATGTTATCATTTTTTTTAAATAGATAATTATACATACATATATATATATATATATATATATATATATATATATATATATATATATATATATATATATTTTTAATTGATTTAAAATATATTTTTTATAAAAGTTTTAACCATGTTTCAAAAATGGAAGTTAATACAACAATTTAATTTTGTCATTAAATTAAAGACATTAGTTCCATTTTATCCTCAAGCGAATTTTGAAGTAACTTTTTGCTTGAGGATGAAATGGAATCAATGTCTTTAATTTAATTACAAAATTAAATTCGGGGATTTAGCTTATTTTGAAAACGTGGTTAGAACTGTCGAAAAAAAACATATTTTAAATCAGTTAATTTATAATATTAATGCTTTGTAAATTTACATTGAGCACTATTTTGTAAAAATAAAAATATCTATAAGAGCACCGGATTATATATCTTACTGTTCTTTCTTTTTATTCATATATATATATATATATATATATATATATATATATATATAGAGAGAGAGAGAGAGAGAGAGAGAGATAGGGGGAAATCAGTGGATTAATATGTCCGACCTTAATTCATACGAGACCAAATGTTCTTTGTTGAATACACATGTTTGCGTAAACGTGTGAATTATCTCTACAGGCCTGTGCATTTGTAAGAATTAATAAAGGACGTGTACTCAATGCCAGGGCTCGAACGTGCGTTCGTCGTTGCAGGAGAAAGTATACTGCATCAGACGGTGGTTTCACTTTCACACGGGGTACGCCAGTTCGAAGATCAAGTTTTCTTTATTAAATCTTTCGAATGTTCAAACCTGTACAAATAATTCACAGAGATTAAAAAAAAAAAAACTCAAGGCGTCTACTCAAACATGGGTATCCACAAAATGAAGTCTATGTAGTAGGAAATTGAAAATTGCAGCATGAAACTAACAGCAAACTATATATATATATATATATATATATATATATATATATATATATATATATATATATATTTTAAAAATAACAGACCACTTTAAGGTACCATTATAATAATTTATTTCACCAGAGTCCTTTTAAAGGACGCCCGGATCATCAGATAACACTTCCAAAAATGAAATGAAACGAAAAATGAAATTAAAATTGATGGGTAGTGTAAGTTTTTGTAATTTAACAGAGAGTGTAAAAGGAGTAGTTAAAGAGACATGGCGTCTTTAAAAAGGGCCCTGGTGAAATATATTATTATAATGGTATCTTAAAGTGGTCAGTTTTTCTTTTAAATATTAGCTCTGGATTTACATTGAGCTCTCAGTATTTCATCCTCCTTGGGATTACCCATTACGGTTCTTCATAATTTTTTATATATATATATATATATATATATATATATATATATATATATATATATATATATATGAGAGAGAGAGAGAGAGAGAGACAGAGAGAGAGAGAGAGTTTATTAAAAACTATGATATAAATATGTGGTAATGTTATAATATGTTTGCAGTGATGTTATATTTATGTTATAATTTTGAATATATAATATTTGTTCTCTGTATTGAACACACTTTTTAAGGTTATTGGACTGCTATTCCATATATACTAATCATATACTTGATATATATATATATATATATATATATATATATATATATATATATATATATATATATATAAAGTTAGAAATCAACTGATTCCGCTACCTTTCGGTATCTTTCAGGCGATATTGGTCAACTGATTTCCCACTCGCTTTATTTAAAAAATTATAACGCTATATATATATAAGCATAAGTGCTCCTTTAATAATATAAACAAAAGAAACCAGACTTCACTATCAAAATATTTTTGGCACCTGAAGGAAACAAATAAGACACCAAAATTTAAATGGAAAATCATTGATAAGGCTAGAACATGTAAAGCTTGGGATGACCCATGCCCTTTGTGCCTCCATGAAAAATTACACATTATTAAACTTCTAAATAATAATAATCTATTAAATAATAAACACGAGTTAACGGTTTTTTGTAGGCATCATCAGATTTTTGGTTTGAATCATTAGTTAAAAAAAAAAAAAATTAATAACTTGTTTAACAAATAGCCCAATTTTCAGATTCATAGTAGGAATAATTAACTACAAACATGCATACAACATAACACCCTTCATAATCCATAGCCCAAATAAGTAGTTTAAATACCTTACATAATAGATAACCCTTTATAAGTCGTCAAAAAACAAACGTTACGAAAGTTTTTCTTTTTTTTTTATATGCACAATTCCTTTCATAATAAAATAAAATAAAATAAATAAATAAATCTCCATAGACAACCAAACTAGACGAAGGTTAATACATCTTCCGTTTCATTTTAGACACCCCACCTTTCCCCGACTTGACATCTTGAAAGTATCTCTATACCGCTACTTATTCTTAACACCCTACACTCGCCTACCCAATTTAAAACAATTCGCCCTTGATGTTACCATGGAGATTTTGATTTCAATTTTTAAAACAAGTAAATTTCAGATATACGTTATTCCAACAAAAAAATTTCGCTTGAAGATGGAACGGTGCCCATTTTAATTTAAACTCAATTTAATTTAAAGGATTATATTGAAGTTTTCGGCTCTTGTTTTGAAAACATGAGACCTCTTATGTAGCGATTTGGAATCATATTTTTAAATAAATAATTATATATATATATATATATATATATATATATATATATATATATACAGTGTAACCCGGATATAAGAGACCCGGATATAAGAAAAACCCGGATATAAGAGAGATTTTCTCTGGTTCCAAATTAGAGCCTGTGTTAATGTATATAAAATAGACCAAACCCGGATATAAGAGAAACCCGGATATAAGAGACTTCTTCTCCGGTCCCGACAACTCTCTTATATCCGGGTTACACTGTATATTGAAGGGCCAGATACAGAGACCTGGTGCACTACGTATATATATATATATATATATATATATATATATATTGCTTAGTATTTATTTACATTTGCTATATTTATATGAGTATTAGAATATATATGTGTTGTGTGTGTGTGCGTGTGTATAAAAGTGGGAATGGAAGTCAACGCTCAGAGGCGACAGTCTCTTTCCTGTCAATCGAAATCGCCAGGCAAATGTCGCATGTTCATATTTACATACACCCTAACTCTGATATTGAGGACTTTAGCCCATAAATATGGCATGCGTTAAAATATATATTTTATCATATGGTGGACTCTTCCGTCGAATACGACGGATGAAGGTCAAAGAGCTCAGTTCCCTGGAACCGACTGCCAGACACCAGCACATGTGATTTGATTATAGTGGTGAAGGCTTTGTGCAGAAGCAAACACACTTTTTCAGAGTCTCTGTATTCGGTACGATGATATATCACTATCTATCTATCTATCTATCTATCTATCTATCTATCTATCTATCTTATTACTATATTTGTACAAAAACGCACAACCTTAAAATTTAAAATTCAAACTCAGCGTTGCGACCGCACGTTCCAAAACAATAACACATTTCTAAAAGCATTTTTTCGGATTACATCTATATTTTCGTTGTCCTTTTATTACCGAGAAATAAAAAACAAGAACAAATCTATTTCCATACCTGAGGATGTCTGTAGAAACTGACGAAAGCTTGTAAAAACCTAAAAAAGACCTTATGCAACTGGAATTTATAAACAGGGATCATATCATTTATATACAGGTTCGGGGTTGATGTATCTTATTGAAATTGTTTGCGAAGATGTATTCTCTCCATTTAAATTATTAACCTCTATATTTGTTTTTTGTATGAATGATTCATGTAATTATAAATTAAAATGCACCTATAATTGATATATATATATATATATATATATATATATATATATATATATATATATATATACTCTCCCGTCGTATTCGACGTATGAGGATTGAGAAACAGTTCCTATGAACCGACAGCACATATGATTTGAGTATAGTGGTGTAGGCTTTGTGTCGAACCAAACACACTTTTTGAAGGGCCGAATACAGAGACCTGGTTCACTACGTGCCAAAGGTCCCCAAACGACCCTCCGTGGGTTTGAATTCAGAGATGTCCCTCTCCTAGACCAGTGGCCATCAAGGCTATAGAACCCAATGTGTGTCTTGCTATTTACCCATAGCTGGAGGTAAAAGAAGAGGATAAATACTTTTCCAAAGGGTATTAGCACGTAATCATATATATATATATATATATATATATATATATATATATATATATATATATATGAAGTAATATAGTCTTAAGATGTGCTGTATTTATGGGATAAAGTGCTCAATATCAGGGATAGAACGTCTGTAAATATAAAAGTGAACACTGAAGTCAACACTTCATGCTAGACGCAATTGTCGTGGCCTGACGATTGCGTCTAGCATGAAACAGCCTGTCGCCTGTAAGTGTTGACTTCAATTGTCACTTTTACATATATATATATATATGGGGTGGGGGGCGTAAAAGATTTTCAGATATAAATGAAATAAATATGTACAAACAATATAATTAAAGGCAACAAAGAATATTTTTCTTTACCAACGCGTTTTGTCCGCTGGTAAACGTAGAGATTTTATTTTGGATCTTGTATTACATTACTTCGATTTATACATACAAGTTGCAAAATAAAATCTTTACATTTGCCTCAATAAAGCCCCTCAGGGGACGAAACGCTTTGGTAAAGAAAAGTTTTACTTTTGTCTCTATCTATCTATCTATCTATCTATCTATATATATATATATATATATATATATATATATATATATATATGTGTGTGTGTGTGTAGGATTTGTAGAATGTAGGATTTATTATACAGCACATGTTTATATACACAGAGGCAAGGATTTCATCGATTTATCAAGGTTTTATTGCGAATGTTCATCAGGTGGTTGAAATTAAAATGTTATGTGTGAGGTCTCTTTTATGTATAACAAAAGCACTAGTCATACACAGAAATAAATTTGACCACAGTTTTGATCTAAAAAATATCACGGTCATCAAAAGAGAAAGTAAATTCCTTAGAATGGAACTTCTCGACAGTGCTACCTTCAAAATATAATTTTACGTCCCGGTTTTTGCCCAATCTCACCTTTCCTGAAAGAATTATTACTTTCCGAAGCTAACATTTAGATTTTTCAACATATTTGCGGTTGTGTAGACCACAAATATGTTGAAAAATCTAAAGAAAACTTTAAATCCATCACTTCAGCCTCTGAAAATCTACAGCACATATGTAACAATCTAATCATTAATATTTTGTTTAGTTTAGATGTGCCGTTTAAGAATAGTTTTTTCTTGTCTCGTTTTATTCATGAATATATATATATATATATATATATATATATATATATATATATATATATATATATATATATATATATATATATATCTGTGTGTATGTGTGGTGATTTTCCAAGCGTTGCTTGGATGTGGCACAAGGCCGAAAGTAGGGACACCCAGTGAGGATCGAACTCACTATTCAGTCGTAACTGTTTTAGAAAAGACAAGCTACACTACCTCGAGGTGCCTCATCTGTGTAGTAAATATATATATATATATATATATATATATATAAAACAGTAAATGTTCTTATTATTGATTGTTTTTTTTTTTTACGAAACAGTGCTCCATGTAAATTTACAGAGCATAAATACTATAAATTAACTGATTTAAAATATGGTATATATATATATATATATATATATATATATATATATATATATATATATATATATATATATATATATATATATGTAAAATTGTAAAAAGTTCAAATCGTATAACACCATGGGATAAAAAAAAAATACTAAAAAAATAAAAACTGCGAAGGTTAAGAATCTCCTATCGAAAGAAGAAGCCGGGTATAGGTCAGGAACAACATTTACACACATTAACTGGTTACACAAGAAGGGTGTGTCCTAAACAGTGGGGAAGGGCTCCAAAGGAAGCCGCCCCGATGTATCTCAGGGAGACTTACAAAAGAAAATCACGGCTAGCCCCGTTCACGCGAACCAGGCTCGCGACAACCTTGGATTCTGTTGAAACAGGCGATCAATAACGAAGCAGAACTAAATAAAACTAAGAACTAGACGAGATATCCATAGACATGAGTAGTGGAATGAGAACAGCCTAACCACTGTAGATTAAATAAACAGTTCAGTTTGATATTCCCTTTAGGTTACCCGGATCGATATACACACGACAAAGGCACAACGGACGAAAGACACTGATAACAATAACAAAAATGAGTTTGAACTGAGTCACTTATTGTGACTACCGACCATATAAATATGGGTTGGTACCGGAAGACGGGAAGATAGTAGAGATTAAGAAATTGAATCCAGAGACTCTGCCCGACTGCGATTTAGTCAACCCATTATGCAAACAGTCTTCCCAAGAATATACCAAACTAACTGTAAATATTGTGTACCTATTCTTTGTTTCAATACATTTTGTTAACGTACATTTTGTGTTGTATTATTCCATGCTTATTTAAGCTTCAACACTTATTAAGAGAGTAACTCACTTAGCTAGACGAAAAGTTCTTGAGAGTGTAGCGATCGAACCTTATCAAAATATAAAACTGCGCCTTAGATATTTTTCTCCATTTTAAACTGAAGAAAGCAAAGAAAGTATACGCTTTTTCAGCGTAATGTAACTTTAATAGAATTTTCCATTTGATATATATTTGACACGAAGACTCCTTCTACCCCTTTCTGATCATAGATCAATTAGATCTCATTTAAATACTCATGTTCACACGAATCTGTCTGATACTGTACCTGCTCGGGAGGAAGCCAGTTCAAACCGACCAGGGTGAAAACCGATACAAGTAAAAAAAAAAAAAAAAGTCAAATAATCATGGAGACCTACCGGACCTTATTCGTAACATACTTGTTGATATAATAGCATCATCTACATGCAAAAAAAAAAAAAAAAAGGTTAAAAATGATAGGAGTCTTTATTAATAAGAACAAACAAAACGACACTCAATAATATCATCTATGAACATGGACCCAACATCTTGACCGTGTTTTGAAAAAGAAAACATATAAATACATACATGCGACAAACTATTTCTTATTTTAACAGTTAAAATATAATCCTTGAAAATGACTAAATGTATAGCCGAAAAAGCTCGGAAAAATGAACATTCGGACTGTTTTTATATAATTTAACATCTGAAAAAGAAAAAAAACTATTAGATCCCACGAGAAATTGTATAAAAAAAACTATATCAAAGCACCTTGTCTGTCCTATTCAATGATATGTGCATGAAATTATATATATATATATATATATATATATATATATATATATATATATATATATATATATATTATTTATTCGAAAAATTATAACATAAATATGTTATAAAATTACCTAAAAAATAGCCATTTGTTTCAACAATTCTGGCGTCTTTTTCCAGAGATGGTGATGAACGTACTACATTCAACACCATCTCTGGAAAAGACGCCAGAATTGTTGAAACAAAATGCCTATTTTTGTAGTGATTTTCAATAGAACAGACAAGGTGCTTTGATATGTTTTTTTTATACAATTTCTCGTGGGATTTAATAGTTTTTTTTTTCTTTTCAGATGTTAAATTATATAAAAACTGTCCGAATGTTTTTTCTGTATTGGGCACTCTTTTAAGAATAGTAGTTGTTGGTTATTGGAATGTATTCCGTATAAACCAATCCTATACTTGGGTATATATATATATATATATATATATATATATATATATATAATGTGTGTGTGTGTGTGTGTGTGTGTATGTATGTATGAGGCGAATGTTATTGTGTCCATGTGTCACACTTTTTCAACTTTTAGAGGCTTTAGCCCAACATATGATACCATTTTGGAAGGTTACCTCCGTGAGCAAATTAAAAACAACCCGGGTTGTATCCTGTCAAAGTAATCCTGAAATTTTGGATTTCCAAGTTTTCATTACTGCGATTGTTTTCGGCGATGTTTTTTTGCGATTTTTCGCGACGAATTTGTAAATGGTTGATCACATAACTGATTGATATTACCTTCAGTATCTCAACTCTAGAGTTTCGTCCACTCATTAGGCATAGCAGCAATTCACTATATATGTATGTGTGTGTGTATACACATATATGTGTATATATATATATATATATATATATATATATATATAGAGAGAGAGAGAGATAGATAGAGATAGATAGATAGATAGATAGATAATATTAGTGGTAAATATACACATACATATGCAAAATATATAAATATATATGCATACATGCATACATACATATATATTTTTTGAATAAAAAAATTCCAAGAGGATAGAATCCAGGTAGAACTCAATGTCCAGGACAGAGTAAGGATATAGGTCTGATGAATTGGATCGTATTTACGATTCCAATGGAATAAATTATGACCGTGGAATATTTG